ACAAATAACACAGTAAAATGTAATAAATGTACATAAAATTATAGTATTTTATGTACACTTCTGATAAAATTTAATAAGAAAGCTACCTAAATTAATTAGATACCTTTTTTTATGAAATTTAATCTAACTATTAACAGTCTTATTTTTTAATTTCTTTATATTTTCCATCAAGGATCGTAAACGTAAAAATGAAAGCTAAGTACAAAAAAAAATAAATAAATAAAAAATAAAAAAATTAGAGCGCTGAAAGTTTTCCTTAAAAGTAACAAGGTAAATAATTTGTTCACTTAAATAATTTCACTTCCTTCCATCCGTAGAAAGAATTATCCTCCCGTGAGTTATCTAAACGTCATGAATGTGCCTTTCGTCAATCGTCAAGCGACGCGAAAGGTTATGACCTGCTTTGTTTTATTTTCAAATTACATTTTTTCGGCGCAGAAGCTAAGTTAAGCTTGGTTCAAAATATTTTAAATAAACAGTATAATATCTGTTTTTATTAAAATCAGTTTTGAAAAATGATAATTGACTTTTAAAAGAATATCAAAGTAAGATTTTAATCTTTTTATCAAATCGAAAAAAATGATTGAAAATGATTATCTGCCTTTTTTGACCAAAAAAAAAAAAAACAATATTTTTAACGAAAATTTCAGACGTGCTAGGAACGATTAAAAATGTAAAAAACTACCCCCAAAATACTTTGATCTTTCCTCTTTAATAATAATATGAACATTAGACGATAAAATTTTGTTTTCGTCAAGTTCGCTTTTTTTTCATCATGCTATGCTCTTTTGTTTACATTTTCGTGGGTGAGTTGTCCCCTTTCATTCTCACGATGTGTCTTAATCGTGTTTTCAAATTGATTTTATTAAAAAACAACTGTATTTTTCCCATTTTCGGCTCCGTTAGAACCACCACAAGGTAATTTTATGTAGTCCTGTGAAGTTTTGTTGAAATCGGCTAAAAAATGGAGGAAATTCGATCCAACATATAAACGTTACACACACACACACACACACACACACACACACACACACACACACACACACAACCTGCGTTTTATAATAAGTAAGATAATATATTTAATATAAAATAATGTTTAATCATTTCATATGAACGAAAGTTTACTGCCGATTTATACTATGTTTAATTTTATATATATAATTAAATAATAATTTAATTTATACTATGTTTAATTTATATATATAAATAAGTACACATATACACATTTACATTCGTAAAGAAACCTTTTCAGGTCTTTACACTAATTGGAACTCATTTGTCCCCCATACCAGAAAAATAAATCTGGTTAAGACCTTAGTTCATAGGGCTTTATTAATTTGTTCCTCTAGCACACTTCAACAAGAGTTGAACAAAATTCGAGACATTCTCATCAACAATGGTTTTCCAGCCAACATTGTTGACCGCACAATAAAGCGGAAAATAGAGAATTTCAATATGCCCCCAAAATTTAGCCCGGGTCTTTGCCCTATTTATCTGAAATTACCTTGGCTGGGCAGAAAATGTAAACTTTTGACTGATAAAGTTTCAAATGTTGTTTCTGCTACCTTCTTTTCAGCCAAAGTACGTGTTGTCTTTGGTACTCGTACTGTTTTTCCGTCTTTTTCCAAGGATCGTTTGCCCTATCACAATAAAAGTTCGATTATATATAGATTTAAATGTCAGTGCGGAGCTGAATACATAGGGCGAACATGTCTTCGTTTGGAAACAAGAATCGGACAACATGTACCCAGACACATTAAATTAAATTTAGATAATCGCATTCGTGTTTCGCAATCAGCTCACGATTCGGCGATCGGGCAACACCTATTAGAAAATGAGTCATGCTCAAAACGTTTTACAATGGACTCGTTTTCAATTATATGCGTAGGCAGGTCCAAATATCATCTGTCTATTTTGGAAGCCATCTGCCTCAAATTATTTAAACCATCGCTTTCTAAACAAAAGGAGAATTTTCACGATCGCTAAATTTATTTTTTGATATATGAGCAACTTATTTTCCTATCTTACTGCTCAGGTTGGTTCATTATTATTAATTCATTATTTACGCATTTATTTTAATCGTAAATTTATTTTAATTTTACGTATATATATCTTCGTAAGATTTTAGACGTGTTCAACCACACCATTTTGGCGTTCTTCTCATTTTCATTGTTTGTTTAAAAATCATTTGCCAACGAAAGACCCTGATGAAGCGTTGGCCGAAAGGTACCTAGGTCCTGCAAAAAAAAAAAAAAATGGTCACACAAAAGAAATTCATTTTCTTTAAATCGTTATATTTGTTTTGTGGTATCAAAACACTATTCAATATATATATATATATATATATATATAATATATATATATATATATATATATATATATATATATATATATATATATATATATATATATATATATTGCCTGAAATATATATATATATATTGCCCAATATATATATATATATATATATATATATATATATTGCCCAAATATATATATATATATGTTATAAGATATATACATATATATATATATATATATATATATATATATTCAATATATATATATATATATATATACATATTGTCCAAATATATATATCTATAAAAGACATGATCTGTGTGTGTGTGTGTGTGTGTGTGTGTGTGTGTGTGTGTTTGTGTGTGTGTAACGAATGCACGGCCGCAATTTTCGACGGATTTGCCAAAATTTATATGCACATGCTCCAAGATAGCGGAAAGGCCAAGATGACTTTTGCATTTCCTAACTCCCATCGATAGTGGAAATAATCGATTTTTCATGCTTCTACGGCAGTTTTCATATAGTTTGCGGCCATTTTCTACTGGCCAGAGTGAGAGCCTATAGCTGGCTGCCACGAATATGCAGGAAGATTCTACTGGCCAGCGTTAGAGCCAACAGCTGACTGACACGAATTTTCACTAGCATGCTAGCATGTAAAAAATTGATAGCTGCATTCGTCACAAGTGGGAAAAATTTAAATCTGCATGGCACTTTACTCCAATTGGCTCATTCGCTTGCTTAAACACAACGTTGATTCTGATTCCGCAGAACTGCGTTGGGTGTGAAAAAGTATTTGTTGTTAACATTCTTTTTTCATTCAGTTTTTCCAGTTACGAGTCCTTTTTTAAAGCTGATCGTTTTGTGTTCATTTTGTTTAGTTCTTTTTTCGTAACCAGATTTAATGTTAGTATAGAGCTTAGGAAAAAATTCGCAGTGTGAGATAGGCAAGAAGTAAGGCATGTAGCAACATCAGCACGGCAAAGGGCACTCTTTTTAAAGCCAAGGAAGGGCGAAAATATTTTAAGTCAAGTGATAGCGATTGCTGTATGAGTCGTACGATTTTTGAATCAAACACCATGCTGCTAGTATATATATATATATATATATATATATATATATATATATATATATATATATATATATCCTTCTAAAGAAATAATGGATTTTCAATTCAATGTTCTTATTCTTAAAAATGAAATTTGAAGTATATATATATATATATATATATATATATATATATATATATACAATTGACTGAGAGGGGAAGAGAGAATAGTAAAGCCCGTCTCCGAATGAAGGAGTAGAGTGGTATGACTTGTAAAATGCACACAATTTTGTTTGCTCTGAGCAAGTTAAGACATGCGAAAATTGTAAATCGTTGCATTTTATTTATTTGCTTTCTTAATTCTTTTTTTCTTTTTTTTAGTTTTCTAATTTGTTACTTTTTTTTTACCCATTGAAATTTGATGAATGCATTGTTCGTCTAGGGACCCAGACATGGCTCTTCCATCAATACACTCCCCTAGAGAGCAGCGAATATATTCAGTAACTGTCTTACTCACCATGCACTTATGTATGTAAGTAGGTATGTCATTTAAGGAAACGTCAAGAAATGGTACTTTGGATAAAAGGCACACAATATGGCAGGCTCAAAGCAAGCTAAGACTTGCGAACATTTGAAAATCTTTTCTTTTTTATCTAATAAATTTTAAATTTTTTAATATTTTTTCAACTACACCTCTATCTACCGCAATCTTTTCATTATCTATCGCTCTCTATTAGTCATTTCATTATCTATCTATCTATCTATCTATCTATCTATCTATCTATCTATCTATCTATCTATCTCAGTTTGTTCAATATCTATCTATCCATCGAAGTCTGCTCACCATCTATCTATCTATCTATCTATCTATCTATCTATCTAAATATATATATATATATATATATATATATCAGTCTGTTCATCATCTATCTATCTATCTATCTATCCATCTAAGCATCTTCATTATCTGTCTATCTATATATCTATCTAAGTTCATCTATCTATTTCTGCCTGTTCATATTCAGTCTAATTATTAGCTATCTATCTATCTATCTATCTATCTATATCTATCTATATCTATATCTATATATATATATATATATATATATATGTGTGTGTGTGTGTGTGTTTCATTAAAAACGACAGACAAGGTACTACGGTTGAGCTTTTTATTTAATTTTTCTTGTATTCTGACGAGCTTTCTTTTCTCTTTTTTTTTTGCAAAAAAGAAAGACTAAAAATAATGGAAGCTTTAATAATAAAAAAGAAAAAGCCAACTTTAAACAATATTAACTACGAACAAAGCCACAATGTGCTAACCGTATTCGGAAATTAAAAACATCCCTACCACACACTGACACATATAGAGAACGCACACACTCAACTAAGCTGAAAATCGAATCATCCTTGATAATGGCTAAAGGTATAGCCGAAAGCGCTCGGAAATTTAAAACATTTGGACAGTTCTTACACACCCTTTGTCCAGAAAAGAAAGCTTTTGTTCGAACACAAGAAAAATTAAATAAAAAGCTCAACCGTAGTACTTGTCTGTCGTTTTTAAGGAAACATGCATAAAGGAAGGATTGCTGCCTAAATATACAACTATATATATATATATATATATATATATATATATATATATATCAGTCTGTTCATGATCTATTTATCTACCCTTCTGTTCATTATCTATCAATATATCTATCTATCTATCTATCTATTTATCTATCTATCTAAGTCTGTTCATTTTCTATCTATCTATTTCAATCTGTTCAGTAGCTATCTATCTCAGCCCGTTCATTATTTTCTTTCTTTCTATCTATCTATCTCCACCTGTTCACTTTCTGTCCATCTCTCTATTTCAGTCTCTTCCTTATCTATCTATCTATCTATCTATCTATCTATCTATCTATCTATGTTCATTTTCTATCCATCTAACTAGTTATTTCAGTCTGCTAACCTGCTATTTGTTCATATTAATCTATCTCTGAGTGTTTATTTTTCTATCTACCTGTTGATTATTTTCTTTCAATCTATCTATCTCAGTCTGTTCATATCTATCTATCTATCTATCTATCTATCTATCTATCTATCTATCTATCTATCTATCTATCCTTGGGGTGTAATGGATTGGAATAAGGAATCGAAGAACCGTGTTCGATTTAAAGTTGGTCTCGGTGCATTCATTCACGTACGCCATTAACAAACTTCCGTTCCATTTCCTCCACCAACAAAAAGGAAAAAAACCTCACCCACTTGGATGCCCCAGCTTTGATATCATAGCAGGATACGACGTGCCTCCATTTTTTTCATTAGAAAAAAAACAACCTGGACAACCTTGATAAATGTGTCGAGAGAGGAACTCCTCATCTAAAAGATTGCTGTTGATAAAAATTAACCTAAATTTTGCTGCCTTGTCAAGATCATTCCGTGCAAAAGAGGAGGTGATATTCTCGCTGTATGGTGAGGACGTTAGAAATGAAGAGAACCAAATTAAATATGTTGGTCCCCTCGTAAAAAGAGGGAAAACTTATTTTTGAAAAAATATTTCTAAATTAGCACTCTTATGACCTTCCGTAAGCCGCGACACTCGTCAGAATCGAAATACATTTAATTTTATCAAATTAGAATATCGATAAAGTGTCAAATTGATCTCTAACGTTTTACAGAGTTATTAAACTTAGTGCTAGTACAGTGTAACCCGGATATAAGAGACCCTGATATAAGAGAAACCCGGATATAAGAGAGATTTTCTCTGGTCCCAAAGTGTTCCCATACTTACCTAAACAAAATAGACCAAACCCGGATATAAGAGAAACCCGGATATAAGAGACTTCTTCTCCGGTCCCGACAACTCTCTTATATCCGGGTTACACTGTACATACAAAAAGCGGCTCCAAAAATATTTGTTTTAAATAATTTTGTGTCGTAAATAACAAAGCTTGACACACATATAGAAAATAAGTAGTATTTTATTTACATTATTCAGACTATTGTCCTCATCTTTGTCGCCATATTTATCACAACGTTTCGGCCGTTGTACGCTCCGGCCTTCTTCAGCTGGTTAGAATGTCGAACTGAACCCTTTATTTCGCTCCCTGGGATAGACTGTTCTAGTTCCACGTCCTATGTTTAATAGATGTCAGTTATCTCCTGTTAATTCCCCTCTCAAAGTTCTCCACTGCCTTACCTCTTTGGGTCCTGTCACAGGATCGAACTAACGCCTTTATCCATGTGTACTTGAGGACATCTGTGTATGAATTTCTGGGTATTATAAACCTAATGTCTTCAGCAATCATTTTTTACTAGTGCTGTTATTTTTGCTGTTATCATTACATGTTTTTACCAGAGCTCATATTCATTTTTTTTTGTTGTTGTTATCGCTTTTCTCTGGCACTCCTTATTACTGGTTCCCATATTGTATTCATTTCTATGCTTGGTCGGCTCAGGAGATATGTGCTGATTCCTTAAGTTTACGAATTTTCTAATGGTGTCTATAGACAAAGAACACCATTGGAAAATTCGTAAACTTAAGGAATCAGCACATATCCTAGGCCACAAAAATGGCGACAAAGATGAGGACAATAGTCCGAATAATGTAAATAATATACATAATACCGCATCTCAAAAATATAGACAGAAGTAGTACTTTATTCCGGAGAATAATATGGTACACGATTGAGAACACAAACTAATATAATAAACAGTTAATCGTTAAGAGTCTGTCTATATTTCTGAAATGAGGTATTATGTACAGTATTCACATTAGTCGGACTATTGTCCTCATCTTTGTCGCCATATTTGTCGCAAAGTTTCGGCCGTTGTACGCTCCGGCCTTCTTCAGGTGGTTGGAATTTCGAACTGAACCCTTTATTTCGATCACTTGGGTAGACTGTTCTAGTTTCCCGTGCCATGTTTGATGGATGTCAGTTATCAGTTATCTCCTGCTAATTTTCCCTCTGAAAGTTCTCCACTGCCTTAACCAGGTATTGAACTCACCTTCTTTGGGTCTGTCACTGGATCTAACCAACGCCTTTATCCACTGGTAAAAATGATGCTGAAAACATTAGATTTATAATACCCAGAAGTTCATACCCAGATGTCCTCAAGGACACATGGCACAGTGGATAAAGGCGTTGGTTAGATCCAGTGACAGACCCAAAGAAGGTGAGTTCAATACCTGGTTAAGGCAGTGGAAAACTTTCAGATAACTGATAACTGACATCCGAAACGTTGTGACAAATATGGCGACAAAGATGAGGGCAATAGTCCGACTAATGTAAATACTGTAGTTAAGCGTTAAGCGTTAACTCCTCGGTATTTCTCTGAGAACTCCCCACGAGGGGGGATATAGCACAAGGCCGTTTTTTACCATGGGGTTTTCCGAACGCTAAAATTCCCCGTAGTTCGGGCAGCTGTCTCCCCAGATGAGACTCTGCATTGAGGCATAGCCTCGTCTGGATTCTTCGCCGCCCAGGTGCAGAGAGTCGACAAGCAGAGTTAATTGTAATCGTTAACTGCTCTCCCCCAGTAAGAGAGAGTGATGTCGATGAGCAGAGCTTTAATGAAATCTCATTGGTAACTATTCGCTATTTACCAGAGAACACCCCACAAGGCGATATACGACACAAGGCCGGTTTTTGCGTGGGGCGTTCGGAGCCCGTAGGCTCGGACAAAAATTGCCCGTAGACCCCCATATACACGGGGTTGGGTAGCAGTGTACCTCCCCAGACGAGACTCTGCCCTTCGGCATAGCCTCGTCTGGGTTCTTCGGCGCCCAGAGGCAGAGAGTCGATAAGCAGAGTTAACTTTAATCGTTAACTACTCTCTATCTAAATTTGTAATGCGGCACAAACACATTGGCAAGCCTTGCTAGTGAGAAAATCAAAGTACTAGCTTGTCACGGAAACTATCCTGATTTAAATCCAATCGAGAATCTGTGGTCAATCTACAAGGAACGACTTTGTAGAATGGACATACGAAGTACTAACATGTGCACTGGGTCATGTTTCATTGGAAAAATAAATAATTAATAACGGAATTATTCGTTTTGTTTCAGTTAGCATAAGGGTGTATGCATTACCTTTGTGTTTATCTCCAGGATTATATTCTAACGGCAAGGGACATAGACACTCGAGAATCCCCAGATCATTCTTTCATGTGCTTTCGACTTTCGTTATTATACACTGTTAGGTATCTCTTTTCCCTTTATCGCTCTCCCTGTTCTCAGGACTGCAATTTATTAGACAAAATTTCTGACAGTAGTTTCTGTACTGTCTAAAATTTTGTCTAATATATTGTACTCTCTCTTCATCTATCTGCAGACATTTTTGTGTTTGGTGATTTTAATAAGCATCACGACAAGTGGCTTCTGATGTTACTGGTGCTGCAATTATTCAGACTCTCAATTTCTCAGCTGCTCAGTCTCCTACCCAATCTCGTTTTCTTATTGGATTTGTTCATTAGGGACTCTCCTAGCTTTTGTCGAGCATCACAAACCTCTGGTATTAGTAACTCGAATTATACAGTAGCATATGTTCATATTTCTTTTACGTTATCTATTAGACATGAACCGCCTATTAACAAGACGTCATTCCGTTATCAGCATACAGATTGGGATTTGTTTCGTGACTTTCTTCGAGACGCCCTTTGGATTGCTATTCTTAAGCTTCCATTTGAAAATTGTGCCTGTGAGATTTATTCTTCCGTTAAAGCCGGCATCGATGCTTTTTGTACCTTCTCGGAAATACCTGGTGTAATCACAATCTTCTCCATGGTTCACATCGGTCTCTTCAGCCACTATAGCTCACTGGAATCACTTTTTCTGGCTATATACCAGTGTGACAGTCCCAATCGCCACAGACGTCTATTCATGACTCCACGTAATAAATGTAAATGTATCATCGAAGGAGGTTAGTCATTGTTTTGCTGATAGAATAAGGCACCGTATAGGCTCTAACATAGTAAATACTGCATTTGATAATGCATGAAATAAAAGTAAGTTTTTTATTCCTCCTATCGTCACTCAATTTGAGATGTTAACGTCTGTTGATAACGCTGAATGTTTTGTTTGTAAATTCTCTTCAAACTCTACTCTTGACTTATTTGTAGTCTCCTTGTCCGACTTTCCAATTAGAACGATTGATATGCATATAACCACTTCCATGGTTTCTGTCATCATGTCTAATCTGGATCCCCACACAGCATGTGGACCAGATGGTATCCCTGTAACAGTCCTTAAGAAATGCCCAAACGGAAGTGGCACCTGTTCTCTCTAAATGTTACCATAAGTTATATCCACCCTTTATTATCAAAACGCGAAATGAAAATTCTACAGAACGGTCACTCCTTGGCTTCTTGCTTTCCAGTTAACTTTGATATTCAAAAAACTAAATGCAATGTCAATCGTTATCTACTGTCTTCCTGATTACTCTTCTATTGTTCTCACACAATTTTGGCTTGTCGAACTCTCGTCCGGCTTCTTGCTTTCCTGTCAACTTTGATCTTCAATAATTTAAATGCAATGTCAATCGTTATCTACTGTCTTTCTGATTACTCTTCTATTGTTCTCGCTCAATTGGAACTCTTCCGGCTTCTTTTTCCAGTCAACTTTGATCTTCAAAATTGAAATGCAATGTCAATCGTTATCTACTGTCTTCCTGATTACTCTTTTATTGTTCTCACTCAATTTTCGCTTGTGGAACTCTCTTCCGGCTTCTTGCTTTCCAGTCAACTTTGATCTTCAAAAATTGAAATGCAATGTCAATCGTTATCTACTGTCTTCCTGATTACTCTTTTATTGTTCTCACTCAATTTTCGCTCGTGGAACTCTCTTCCGGCTTCTTGCTTTCCTGTCAACTTTGATCTTCAATAATTTAAATGCAATGTCAATTGTTATCTACTGTCTTCCAGCTTCTTGCTTTCCAATCAATTAATTAAGTTAAAAGCTTTTTAATTTTAACACCTCCAAAATTAAACTGCTCTCTATTAATCATCTGAGAGACCTTTTTCTGCCTTCCATCAGTATTGTTGATGCTTACCTCCAGGAGAGCGACGCCTCGAGCTAAATTTCTAGGTTGACATGAAGACGGTATTAAACCCATTGATAAATCTGCTACTAAGAAAATTGGTTCACTCTGCCATACTAGACCATTTCTATTTCCTGAATATCTATAAG